CTCAATGGTTTTTATGAGCCAGAAGACAGTTTTGCCGCCAGAAAGAACGCGGTAGAGAGAGCGAGAGTTGGCACTTACCTCGGACTTTGCAGACTACAGCATTTTCCAGTTGTGTGCAGAGCAATGGCTAGCTACAGTGCGTTCCGCCAGCATCCTAACCGAGACATGGAGATAGGCTGACGCCATGCATCAAGCAGTCTGCATAGCTTGTAGCTATCTTGCTGTAAACCAATTGAATCAATAGCTCTGTAGACTGCCTGAAGGTGCTGTGTGACAATTATGTCGACAGCGTGCCGCATCACAGACGCAATGGTTCGCCAAAACTTAACATCAATACTTAGCGTAAGCCTCGGCTTGTACCTGGCAATTTGTCACAGTGCAGCACTATACTAGGAAGTGTAGTACCAGACTATGATGCAAGCCAAACAGTGAAAGCTCTATAGGAATTATTTGAGAATAAGGGCGGAGATTATTAACTAAAGCAGCATTTGCTGCGCTTTTGTGTCCGCCACGTGATATTTCATAATCTTATGAGCATGTATAACATATAAACCAAATTGTGGAGCAAATAATGAATTGATCGTAAGGGCAGAGCGATGAAGTCGGCGACTTCAGGAGTTTTTTTCTGCTGATCAGAATTGAATTTAGGCAGTTAGAAAGGCCTTAAGTAGAAGCGACCACCAGATATACAGATAACATAGAGTAGACTTCCCGTCTTACTTAATGTCAATCGAAATTCTGAAATGTGGTTTGGATTCGAACAAATTAATTAAGGAGAATGTAATGCTGCATATCTTGTAACTTAATCTCAAGGTATTTAAATCGGAGCAGACTGCCGGCTTTTGAAGGGGCCCATTTCTGCCCGTCTGCACGACACATACTCTGTAAAAAAAGCTATTTAAGTAGTATGTATTTCTCTCACTGATTTTCGATGCTCTTATAAATCCAAATATATTTTATAGAAAATATGCATAAAGATATTCTTTTTGGTTGACATTTCAAAAGTTAGGAAATCTATTGTATAAGGCCAAATTTAAGAGAGTGATCGGCTGCTAAATATTTGGTAATAACCGCATTCAAAAGATAAATTGACGAGCATACGTTTCCTTCCGATTAAGTCCTTTCAGGCTTGTACATCTATATCGTTGTTAATTAAGTAAAATTTGTGGGTTAGTACATACCTCGTGCGGTTATCAGAGTTGGGGAGGCATAATTGGGTTCAGTGATCTGATCAGCGTAATGAGGAATTGGTCGGCGAGAAATGTAATAAGCTGTCGGTGGTTAAATTGGCGACTTTCGGCTATGATAACTGCGGCGACTTTACGAAGTACTTATGGGCGCACATGACCGGTTTGCGTAACTTAACTGCCGCCGCTTCCGCCGCTGGCTTTGACAGCTTCTGTTAGATACGGCAGAAGCGGCTGCAATCTGGTTACGCAATCCAATCCTCTGAGCCCAAAAGTATTTTGTAGGGTCGCTGCAGTTACCATAACCGAAAGTCTCCAATTCAAACGTCCCCAGCATATTAATTTACCCCTGACGGTGATCAAATCACTCATATCCCCCCTCCAACCCTGATAAGCGCACCATATTTCTACCTACCCGCATATATTCCTTAGCCAATAACGTATAAACGTACAGGCCTAAAGAGAATTTATAGACAGTAAACCTATGCTGGCCAATTTGTCTTTGGAATTTTTCAATGGCTTGGACAACTTCTGTTAGATACCGCAGAAGCGGCTACAATCGGGGTCATTCGAATTTTTAAATGGTATTTTTTGCAATTTTAAAATAACCGCGTTGCCCTACAAGGCAAGAAAACGTGGAGGACGCAATCGGCATCGTTCGGAATTCTTGTCTCCATAATTCACAAACGTAGCATAGTCCATTCTCTCACCAAACGAGCTAGACAAAGATGCAGTTCTGCCAAGTTTGAGCATGAACTCGGTTCCCGATCGAACTTGGTAAAGCAATGGCCTCGTAGCGCAGTGCTCACAATGTTCGACTTTTAGTTAATAGGTCGAGGGCTCGGAGCCCAGGTACCCAGGGAGGCTGATAATGACTATTAAGCTAGAAATGGCCAGTCCAGCCTTCCTTGTCTTTGTTGATAAGGTCCTTCTCGCGGCAAAGATACGGACAATTACTTACGCATAATCAAGACGTCCAATGCTTCCAACTATAATTTCCAAGACTTCTGTTTCTCCTGCCAATAAATGTATTCCTCAAGTGTTCATCTCTCAAGAGCTCTAATCTTCTTTAAACGCTAAGAATCCGATAAAAGCGTGTGTGGAAATTTGACCATGTGCTGTATGTAACGACAGTTTGAACGCTGCAGGCGAAAATTTCCACATGCGTCCCACAGCGCCGTGACTGCAGAATGCACGTCTGCTCATGAATTAGTTTAAAGCGCTAGCAGACTTGTGCCACATCGGTTGCTCCCTCTACCATATCACGCACATGGCCTCGGTGACGAGACGTAATCAAGACCATCCATGGCGCGCTGTGGCTGAAAAGCTTAAACAGCCCGTAGCACAATGTACCAAGTTTTCAGGGAAAAGGGAAGTGGCTGGAATCCCAGCTGAGAGGGAATGCCAGTGAATCCACAGTCGGAATGAGCCACTCAGTCTGACTTTCAGTCCTCGGGACAATCCTTTCCCTCCTAAATACACGCAGTACTGATCACGAGACAGAATTATCCCACCAGCTGATAGCCTTCCATTGGAGTAACCGGACGACTGGATTAGAACTGCCGTTGATCCTTTATGATATGACCTCTATGACACTGTCACTGAGGTAAGATCCGAACCGCCTTCGTAAAAGCCTGGCACATATCGCGAGGACCAGATTGTGTGTGAGACGCGTGGAGAGGCTGGTTCTTTTTGGCAGAGTCTGTCTGCCATCGTCCTGATTCTGTCTTGGCACAGGGCTCAGGTGTGTGATGTAGGAGAGCGTGTGGCAGATGCTACGCACGTCTGTTTTCACCATAAGGTAATTTATAAGCTAATTTATTAGGCAAACATGTTTTCGGCCATTCTTCGCCAGGTCCTTAACTTTGCAAAACAATGAAAGTTTGAACGTGTAGAAAAATTCCTTCCTAAGATTGGGAGGCAAAAACCGACTCCCGTTGAGGGCCACATCCATGTGCAGCTACTCCTTCACTTGTTCAAGTGGAGTAGGATACATTGACCAAACAGCGAGGCGCCTGAAAAACAGAGTAAGTGAACATATACTGGCCTGATTAAGTAAAGGTGAAACTAGATCGATCTCAAGTTTTATTCTCGTACACTTTGACTATACGAATCATCGAGTCAATAATAATTAAGTCTTTTGGGCTGTCTACCGGACACCAACTAACTTCTCCAAAGGCCTATGTCAACGGGTACAGGCAACAGCGGAAGCAATGGCTATACGCCTAGTGAGTACAATGCTGTGCTGTCAGAAAACTCTAACACAAGCCCTGCCTCTTCTGTGGCCGACTCCGACGCCAGGTGACGATAGCATATCGCCCCCACCCACTCGTGGCAGTCGTTCACCCAACACGCCGATCTCGCCTACTTGCGTAGACTGACATAGTCCGCACTGGCCAATCGGCGCCCACCTCAGACGTTCAAACATGTATAGTTCTGCAAAGTTAATGGGAGTGTTTGCCCAATAAACTGACTTTTCAAATTAACCATGGGAATATCTACAGAACTTAATTCATAATCAATTAACCTTTTTCGAGTCTGCAAAATCCGCATTCGGGGATAGGAATCAGAAATCATATGGTGCTCACCGGACTGAGTTTGTTTGTTCGCTGACTTTTCGGACAGCTGGGCCGGCTGTCCTTTGTCAACGCGTAAACTGATTTTATCGATCAGCAATTCAAAGTTGTGGCTGTATGTGTTGCTCATGGGCTGGTGGATTTTTCGCCGTTCGCTGCATGGCTCTCCATGTGGATTTTGGCACAGCTTGATGGCAGTTAGTGTTGTGTTTCTTCCCCATGGTGAACACAATATGATTTATAATTAGCCGTTTGGCGGCCACGATTATGGGGAAACGCGATACACATCATCGTATTGATCCGCCGTTTTAATGTATTCTTTTGAGGGACAATAACAATCACGATCGA